TTTTGTTGCTAAAGAAGTACGTGATGCAGACATAGAATTGTCAACAGCATTTGATATATCTGTAAGTGTACCATCATGAAGTACAGGCGGTTTATCACCTATTTTGTCAGGTTTTACTGTTATAGCCGGCTGAACAGCCATAGCATTATTTTTTGGTACAACAATATATCTTTTGCCTCCCATTAAAGCGATATTTTGAGCTGGTCTTGGTAAAATTCCATCATGACTTTGTAAAAATTCATTTTCTGTTTGAGCAAACCAACTGCTTTCTTTATTATCTAAATTTAAAGAAGAATGTGGTGTTCCAGAGGATGTTTTAATTACTTTAGTAGTATTTCGCGATTGTGAATCTGTATTATCAGATTTTGGAATTCGTTGAAGTTTTGGAGGACTTAAATTTACTTGATGTTTTGATTTTGCACTTTGTGCGCCTAACATACTAATTGGTATCAATGGTGGAGGTGTCAAAGATGGATTCGTTTGAGATTGGTGAGATTTGTTAGTATCCTGCTGACAATTCTACAACAAAATTAACATCATTTATTTAATATATATATAATATATATATATAATTAATATAATTAATATATATATATAATTTTTAGTTAAAACATTTAAAATATATTATTATAATTTAAAAAATTAAATTTAAAAATTTAATATAACAAAAAACAATATTTAAATAAAAGATTTTAAAATTATTTAATTATTTAATTAATTAAATTATAGTGTTTTATATACAACACTATAAAAGAATATTATTATAAACACTAATTTATTAATATGAAAACATAATTAAAACACGTTTAAGAAAAAAATATCTTTTATTGTAAGAAAACCTACCTTACAAACATAATCATCACTTCCTGCAAATTCCATACCACCAACACATTCAGGATGATATAAACAGAGACACACACGACATTGTAAGCTTGGTATCAACCCCATACTTGTTGAGCATCTTATACTGCATGGTTCTTGAACTTTGGGCCTGTAAGATGTGCGTTGATTGGGGAAAGGGATTAAGGAATAAAACATAAAATTTAAATAAAGGATTTAAGGATCAGAAGGACAAAGGAGGATACAATTATGTAAAATATAGAAGGAAAAGTTTAAACTATTTCAAAATAAAATTTCGAACTCTGTAATTACATATTTGGTATGCAACATGCATTTTAATATTATGAAAATAAAATGTGCTCTAATGTACTTTTTAGTTTATAATGCAAAATGTAAAGTTTTGTTTTTTTATCATATTTATTAAAGAAACTTGTATTATAATTTAAATTATATTCACAAGAATATTTAGAGAATATGAAATTTAAAGTAAACAAATATATTAATTATGAAATAATAATTAGTATGTAATTATAATAGAACAATTTGTAAAAAATTTTAAATTATTTAATTAATTATTTCATTAATTATAATTAATTTTTTTATATATTTTTGTACATCGTACATTATATATTTAATATGTAAAGATTCTAAAAATTTTTTTTTTAAGAAAATATAATAATGCACATGCTGTAAACATTTCATTGGACCTTTTTAAAGCACATTAAATATTATTGTTATAATAATTATAGTAATTAAGCAATTAAGGATACCCTTGAATATTGCAAATTAATCAAATTAAATGCTATAATAGGAATAATTAAAAAATTAGGTACTTACGTTAATAATCTTTTAGGTTTGGGAGGTGGTGGTTTTTCTACTGAAGGAAGCTGACTTCTTCTTGTACTTGTAGTTCGTTGAGGTGGAAGTATCTCTCTTTCTTGAGAAGGTGATTTTATATCTGCTATGCATATTTAAACAAAAACTTCCATAAAAATAATTTTTAAAAAATTAGTATTTTTTAATTTTTTTAAATTTATATTTTATTTTTATTGAAGTTGATTTCTTTATTGATATAAATTATTAAATTAAAATAATAACAAAATTAAAGAAAAATATTATATATTGTCAAAATAGAAACTGATATTTGATGAAAATAAAGAACTTTGGTATTATTCAGTATCATATAGAATAGACTATGAAAAATTTCTTAAAATATTCGAAAAATTAAACAGAACTAATAAATAAATTAATTTTAAATTAAAAATTAATTGACAATTATTCTTTTTATTGAATGGGATTTACTCTTTCTAACTGCAAACTGCATACATCTTCAATTGCCAGCAGCATCAATAGTATTATTTCGACATCAAACAATGCTGCTGGATAGAATAATTTATGATCTTGTTATATCATCAGAACTTATTATATAAATTTTAAAATTTAAAACAAGATATTAGATATAAAAATATTTTAAATTAAAATAATAGAAAAAGCATTTTTTACTTGATGAATAAATCAATTTCATTAATTTGCAATAAATTAATATTATTATTTAGCAAATAAAACTTTATGTTAACATTAATGCATACTTATATGTGGAGTTTTCTTTGCAGGCACTTTCACTTTAAATCCTACTGACATAGATTTTGGTGATTTAGCAGGAGTTTTTGTAGGCACTGGAGCAGGTTCTTCTATAATAGCTCTCCTTCCAGGTGTACCTTTCTTATATCCTACACCTCTCCTTGGTGGAGTTACTCCAGAACCCTATATCCAAATTACAATTAATATTCTACAAAATTTTAATAAACATAATAAGCATTAAAAAATCAAGCTGCATACTCTTATTCTTTTTGCATCTCTAATGATTTCTTTCTCAGGATCATCAAGACCAATTGGTTCTTTGAAGAAAGTAAAATTATCAATAGTTAATTCTTTTGTATTAACTGAAAAAAAACAGATTATATTATTACATTATTTAAATTATATTTCTATTAATAAACAAACTCAACTTACGAAATTCTGCAACTTCTCTGAAACTTCTAACTTTTTTACCCTTTGGTGTATAATAATAAATATCAGCCATTCTTTTAAGACTAGAATCAGTACTTGCTCTAAATACCAATTCTCGTTTCCAACCATATTTAAAAGGTTCTTTGAATGCTGGATTTGACATATCAACAGCTATTTTTTGTTTTCCAGTACTTCCTGGACTAGTTCCACGCAATAAACGAGTACCTTTAGATTTTATTGAAGTTGCTGGACTACTTATAATTGATGAGTTTGTTGATTTAAGTGAAGCTTCATCTGTTTTTTGTACTTCTAATTCAGACTCTATTGTATTTGGTATTCCAATTGAATCCGTTTCAGATTTATCAGATTCTTTTTCTTTCTTTATTTTATTTATATCTAATATATGTTCTGTGTCATGCATTCTATTATCATCTGAATCATCATCATCTTTTTTGATATTAAAACTTTTCCTCATGCTATATTCATACAAGCGTTTTACTAATTGAGTTTCAGCTACTTCAGCTTCAGCTATAATAAATTATATAAATGTTTAATATTTCCTAAATATTTTTATAAATTAATATATTAATATATATTTGTATCATCATACATCATTATAATAAAATTATGTCAAAAATATAATGTCATATTATATAAATATTATAAAATTTTTAATCTTATAAATAATTATTTAATATTAAAAATGTTTAAACAAAAATGTGTAATTAAAATTTAAAATGAGCTCATTAAAATTCACTTATTACTACTTATTTTTAAATATTATATTTAAATTATTACTTAAAAATAGAAATGCACAAAAATAATTTATGTAAACATAACATAATCTTTCAGTTATATAATATGACATTTAATGATAAACATGTAGTTTACATTTTTAATAAAATATAATAATAATCTTTAATACCAATTAATTTTTTTAAGACATGACTTGCTGGTTCCATTTCATTGTTCTCTTGTAGATCAAACCCATTGAATCCCATAGAATCCTCTGAGCTATCATCTGGCTCTGATAGTTTCCGTTTGCGTCCTTTTGTATTTAATATTGTATCACTTTCAATTATACTACTCGAATTATAAAGCTTTTTTCTAGCATTAAATTCCGTACCCTTTTTTAGCGAACTTTTAATATCGCCGTTCACCTCTTGCCCATCCATTATAGTGGCTGTTTCTACTTTAATTATCTCTCGTAGATCCGGCATATTATCTGTTTCTAGGTTAGGATTCTCGTGCGCCCGATCGGCATTCCCGCCATTCACATTGGTACCATCCATTGTATGGTCCTTTCAGGACCGAATACCGATCTTACGTATTTCAATGACCAATGCGTAAGGAACGTTGATTTCGTGTTATTTGTCACTTCATAAAAGACTCCATGAAACGTTTCTATACATAAGCAATCATACTACAGTCCCCTCGCGTCTGGGTACCGCAATCCCGCGCTCATCTGTCTGCGAATGCGCATAACATACGCGCAGATACCACTACGCGCTATTTACACAACTGCCAAGATTTCTTTTGATATGAATTCAAGCAGTTCCTCATTACACTATCACATCGCACTCATATTCTGAAACGATCAAAAAAACTGTATTATAACAAAAATTACTTAATTTTCATAAATGTAGTTTGAATTCTACAACTGAAAAACCACAAAGTCCTCGGACAGACACGAAGCGTCCGTAAAACACACAACCGGAAATGGCCGAAAAAAATATGCTAAAGACGCATTTCCAATGTTCATAATTTTCAACGCAAATATTAATGCACAATTTTGATTTATTGATAAATAACATTATTTTACTGAAAATTATGATATAAAATTTGTTCAAATAATGAAATATTTCAATATTTATATTAAATTTAATATTTTATATAAATAAAAGTAATTTATGAATTATTTAATATTTTATACTTTATATTTAATTTAATATTAATAGATAATCCATTCAATTTTTGCATTATGTATATGTATATTTCATTTATATGTATCTATAAAAATATAACTTTTTAATATTTACTTAATTTTAAAACATATCTATGTAATTCATTTGAACTATGACCAAATTACATCTATTTCTTACGAAAATATACAGACACATACAAATACGATTCCATACTATCGCAAAATAGAAAGATTTATAGCGCACAGTGAAAACATTTTTGGAATTGACAGTTTTCTACCATTCATCTTATTTTTTTTTTAATTGTCAACAAATAAAAAAGTTATTTAATAATGATATCAATTTAAGGAAAATTTATATCTTCCGCAATTTTATATACAAGGTATATAATATTAAATTATATTTTTCTATTTTATAAGCGATTAAAATATGATGCATTCTAATTTTTTTAAATCTATTTATTTATTTTTAATAATCAAATTTTCTAAATAAAAAGATAAATACTTTAAATTTTATTATATATTTTATTTATTTATCATTATATTAATGTATTAAAATTTATTATCAATTAAAATAAATAAGATTAAGATATAAGATAAGATAATAAAAATAAAATAAATTTATAAAATTATAAATATTTATAATACTTCAAATATTTATATAATACTTCAATTAAATTTTCTATATTTTTATTTTTTATGTAGTTACTAAAAATATTTAAAGTACATATATAAAAATCAATAAATATTAAATATAGATTATTATTTAAACATAGTTACATATTTATAATAAAATATATCCATTAAATTATATGATTTTATAATATTTTTAATATTATTAAAATAATTTAAAAGAACAATATTTTAACAATAAAATTTATTATATAATATGTTTTTAATTTTACTTATTTAATACCATAATAATATATAAAATCATGTTCATTATCAATGTTTATTATAATTTAGAAACAAACACATCCTTCAAATGGAGCGTGTTTTGAAAGCTGTACCAGCGGATTTAAGAGTAAAAATGGAGGCACTTGTGCATGATTTAACTTTGGCATTAGAAGAAAGCAACAATAGTGCAAATGTGAGACGCAGATGGGGTATTAGAAGAAGAGCCCGTTCCACGGGCAATATTCGTAAGTATAAAATAACAAAAATATAAAAAAACATAATTTTTTTTGTAAAATTATTTAAATATTTTATATGTTAATATGTTATATAAATGTTTGTGAAATGAAGGTTAAAATGGATTCTAATCACATTTCTATGAAATTAGTTCCAGTCTACTTCTACAAGGCAGACAGAGGATTGTTACCAAGATTGTGTTTATAGAAACCATATTTCATTACTCAAAGAAGTCAAATTTTATAAATCTTTGAAAAGTAATTTTTAACACTTGAAAAATAATCAAAGAATTTGAAAAATAATCTTCAAATAATTACTTTTTATTTCAGCATCACTTCACATGAATAAACAATCGGATGACAGTTCATCTTCCATTTGTGATATCCATATTCCAAAAAATAACACTGCCTCCAAATATCAGTCTGATAGTGATGATACCAACCAAACAAAAAGATTTGCACGATTTTCTAATTCAAACAATGCTAGCAACATTGAAAGTGATTCAGTTAATGAAAATTTTGTACCTAGAGTAAATCCACGACGTAAACGAAAATTTAAGAGAATGGCTATTGATTCTGATTCTAATCCATCAACTTCTCAGACTGTTGCATTGTCAACAACACTTGCAAATAAAAAGAGAATTTTACGAAGTGATTGTAAAAATAGATATGGAACAATATGGTAATGTATATTAAAATAAAATAATAATATAATATAATAATAATATAATAATATATATTATAATAAAATATATATTATATAAATATTATGCAATAATAAAAAATCAAATTTTTTGTTGTTATAGGTGTGGAAAACGTAAGAGGTCTTGTAGAGAACGATCAACAGATTGTGATATGAGATCATTAAAACCAAATAGAAATACAAAATCAAAAAATCGTATCAAGATACAAACTGAAGATGGTATTGATTGTTCAAGAATATCCAGTTCAAGTATTTCATCTAGTGACTCAGAAACTGGACTTATGACAAATGATGAAGATCGAGAAGGTAATTAATTATTTATGTATAATTTAAAATTTATGTAAATAATGAATATTATAATTAGTTCATTTTTTTCACTTTAGGAGATGATGAGCAATCAGATTGGATTGGAGAACCAAGTTGGTGGGATGATGGCGAAAGTACTAATGAAGATAAAGTTAATACTGATTCATCATTTCAAATGATGATACATGGAAATTTTGAACATACAACAGTTGAAACAAGAAAAAGTTATAGAAAAAGAATTCAAAGAATTCGAGAAGGTCTTAGTGGAAGAGAAATCCGCGCTGGTCGTCGACATGTTGATAATAAACCTGGATATTCAATTATTACATCAGCAAATGAAAAAGTTTCTAGATTTTTACAAGATCCTACTCAAAATGAACTTAGATTACATCCTATGCGACAAGCTGAGAGAGAAAAACTTCGCAGGCTTGCAAATTTATATAGTTTAAGTTTAAAAGGAGATTTAGGTTGTCCGATTTTATATAAAACTCGACATACTACACAAGCTATTTGTGTAGATCAAGTATCATTCAATCGATTTTCTGGTTATAAAAGATTAAGAAGAACTCCACCAAATTCACCTAACTCAGAATTAATAATGCATAATCAGGAACATCAAATTTCTAATACAGGATTTGGTTCACAAATTATAAATCCTATATCAAATTTAGATTCATTGCAAACATTACCGCAATTTTCTCACTTTAAATGGGATTCAAATAGTATGGATATTGAAATTCATGGAAAACCAAAATTACATGATTTTGATCATTCAAAATCAAGTTAAACCAAACAGTTTTTTGTTAATTTGTTTTTTGAAATAAATTATTTGTGTATATTCATATGGTACTTTTATATATGTCTTTTTATCAAAATAAGTTTTATATTTTATAGTATTTAAAAAATTACAAACATTCAATGTAAATTTTTTTAATTAAATAATTCTCAACTGTGATTAAGATTATATAAATACATTTTTTTAAAAAATTATTAATTTAGTAAAAAATTAATATATTTATTAATCTATTAATCATTTAATGTATAATATTTTTCAAAGTATATATTTATATTAAAATTTAATTTACATATAATTATATACTTTAACTAATTTAAAATATTATATATTTTGTAAATTTTTAGTCTCTCTAATTTTTTATTATTTTTCTCCAATTTTAATAATATTATTCATAAAATAATTAATAAGCAAAGGTAAAATATGAAAAAATAAAATGTTAAAAATATTTAATTTATATATTTTTATTAATACAATATTCAAGACTCTTTACTATCTAATTTTTTTTGAGCTGCAAGTATATTTTCATTAGCAAGCATTTGAAATTCTTCAAACCTTTGTGATATTCTTTGATTCATTTTCAAATATTTTTCCATGCAGTTTAGAGCACAAGTTTCTTCCTTTGCTTTGACATCTCGTGTAGTAAATTCATTTATACAATCAAGAAAACATGTTTCTATCAATTTATTATAAGATGCCACAAAATCTCGAACCTGAAGTATTACAAATCTTCTAATAATTTAAATTTCTATTATAACTTATTTATAACTAATTTTCATATAATAAAATTAAAAATTTTTTATTTTCACATTAATGAACATTAATATATTCTTCATTAATTTAAATAAATTTTATAAAATCTTTTTTTATCAAAAAACTAGATAGATACATACAGATTTAATTTGTTCAGGATCCACATTTGTAGGAACTTGCATAGCCATTGTAATGATATATTTTTTGCTAAAATATATTTACACAAATAATTATACATATATTTCAATAAACTAAAGAAATTATCATATCATGTAAATTAATTTAAGGTTAGATTAAGATTATTTTAATAAAGCACGTGCAGGTTGGATAAACATGCACATTGCAATATATATAAAATATTAAATTAATTGTTTAACCTTTGTTTTTTAAGATTTTTGATAGGCTACAAAAATATTTGATCCTAAAACCATCAGATTTAAAACTTTAGATCATCTTAAAGTTATGTTCCAAAATTCGTCGCTAATTTTAATTTTTCGGAACACATTATAAAAAAAGTCTTTTTACGAAATCTTTGAATATAAATTAATAGAAATATTTAAAAATATAATTAGAAAAATAGAATTTTAAAAATTAATAAAATTTAATACATGCATTAACTACATGAATTAGAAATGATGAATTATTCAATATTTATTAAAATTGAATATTCAATATTTGTATAAAATTAAATATCAATATAAGAAAATAATGGAAAAAATATGAAGATAGTAATTATGATACAAATTTATAAACAATCAATGAAATATAACAAATTCATATAAAATTATCATGAAGAATTTATCAATGGACATAAAAGACAAAACTATAGTAGAAAACAAGCAGATGTTTCACGTTAGCAGTTGACTATGGTGTTCAGTCAAAGTAAGCTGGGTCTTTGTTTTGAATGTATCGTGGTCTTTTATTTAAGAGGTAAGATGATGGTTATATTTTTTTTACATTATTTGTACAATAATTTGTGTGATATAAATTAAAAATTTCTAAATATTATATTATGTATTCTTTATTAAAATAATTATAATTTAAATATGCTTATTAATATGCACAAAAAAATAAAACAAAAATGTACATATTAAATATATATATGTATTAAACTTATATATATTATAATTTTATATTATATCGACATTAAAATTAAGAAAAAAAAATATTGAATATAGTGTTTAGTATAAAATATAATAAATTAATAAATTATTTAATAAATAATAATTGTTTATTTATTAAATATTTTTAGTAAAATTTAGTAAAAACTTTTTTATAATATTGATATATCATTATTCTTGATTTAAATTATATAAAATTTGATATAAAAAATATATTTTTTTTATAAATATTTTTTTAATTAATTTTCTTTATAATTTATCATATTATACAAGTACATGTTATTATTATATATTTATTATTAATATAATAACGGTATAAAAACAGATGACAAACAGGTGTTCATAAAAGCAATAAAATGCTTAAATATATAAATTACATTACATTACGTAAATCTACTTCAACATTTAGAACGTATATCAAGCGAAATTGACAGGATTGACATTTTCAATTTTGCATATCATATCATAATTATAATAACGTTTGTTCTGTTCCAAATTTTAGTTAAATTTTACAAAAGTATAAAATGTTACCCACAAAATTCTTTTCTTTTTTATTAATTGTAAATTATAATGTTTTATTAACTTTATTATTATTCTGTTTCTTTACTCTTTTAACCACAATGTTATATCCATCACAAATTAGTCGGTAAAATTATAAGTAAGTAAATAAAATATAATTTTCATTACTATTTTACTGTAATATTATTTCAATAATCAAATTTGAAATTACTATATGCTATCATAAGGAAATTGTTATCGTAAAGAACATTGCTTTCTATAGATGGCGCAACGTTTCAATTTTTCATATTTATTCATTTAATTTATTTATTTTTATCTATAATGCATGTAATGATTAATAGTTTACAAACTAATATATTATAATAATTATATTATTTCAGAAAATTGAATAAAAGTAAATAAAGATTTGATTACCATAAAATTCTCTAAGATGTCACATGATAATCGAAATGTTTCTTCAATCGGTAAAACATTGAATTCTTTAACCAATAAAAAATTTTGTCCGATTAAATCACATCTATATTCATCTACAAAAATGCCTAAAAAAAATAAAGTATTATCTAAAAAAGGAAAATGGATAAATAATTCTACAACAAGATATCAACGTGCAATAAATATTCCCCTACAAAATGAAATTATGAAAGTAAAAAAAATTGAATGTAAAGACTATATGGAATCTATCGATAATAAAAGTTACGATGATATGAATGATGATAATCCAGTTATTATGTTGCGCAAAGAAATACAAGATTGGAGAATTAATGAAATATTAACATCTAGAACTGAAGAAAGACTTACAGGAACTCCAAGCGAACAACATAGTTGCAGTTATGGTATATTATTTTATGTTACTATAAAATATCTATAAAATATTTTTACATTTATCAAATATTTTTTATAGATATTTTTATGATTAATCATTATTATTATTATATTTATTATTTATAGTTGCTTCCGGAGAAACAACAAAAAGACAACAAAGTCCGAATAACATTTCTAAGATCTCTACAATGTGTGTTGATTTTCCAGCAGTCACGTGAGTAATGACTTTTTATACATTCTTTATGCAGCTTGTACATTATTAATATAGTATTGCTAAAATGTAATTCTGAATCAAAAAAATCAATATAGTGAAATGATAATTTAGAATATATATTGCATAAATTGCATATTTCTTTTTTTTTATAATTTTTTTAACACGTGAATCAGTGTTAAAAAGCACAAAATATTTGTATTCTATTGTGTTATGTGTTTAAATATAAATTATCATATAAGTTATATATAATAAGTGGTTATAATAAGTGATAATAATATAATAAAGGTAAGTAAGAGAAAAATTTATATTTATAAAAAGAAATTTTTCGAAAGTATTCTGATAATGTTTCGTGATAAGATTCATGATATTTTCCAATTTTGATAAAACGTGACCAAACTGATTGCTATGCGTTGAAGAATCAAGAAATAAGCTCGAGTATGTCTTACGTAAGTAACTGTAAATGAAGAACGATGAGAGAAACACGATTGTGTATCTTCACGATGCATATGTACACGTGAGAAAGACTACGTCATTCTGGAATTTTCGAAAGTTTCTTCTAACCGGTTTCTGGTTATACACGCAGTAAGACCTGTTTAGTACTCCTCGGTACTTACATCAAGTTAAACTCTATCTTTTAATGTAATTACGTTATTTTTATATATACAAATATATATAGTGACATACTATGAATGAAATTATAGTGAAATTATAGTAAGAAATTATGCAATTCTATAATTAACTGTGATTTATTTAATCATTTTTTAAAAATTTATTCATGTACATAATTTATTATATCTGATGATTAAATACATAGATAGTTAAAAATCAGCAAAACATAATTTTACTAACAAAAAAATATTTTTTTAATATTGATGTCATTTCAATTTTCGCGCGCTTTTAGTGGAGTCATCAAAGTGAACGGTCAACGTGCACAACACGAAGTAGTTATTGAGAGGCCGTTGTAGTTCTTTAGTAGTACCGTCACGAATGAAAAATGATAATGAGTATAGTGCTGTAGGTTAGTGAGAACAATAGCCACTTACGCTAATCAACGAAGATACATGCCGCGCGCGTTCGGTAGTAAAAATATTTTCGGTGATAACTCGTGCCACGAATGAGAAATATCGAGACATTGCCGAATTTGTCCTCGACCATGAAGTCGTTCTTTCGTCGTGACTGAATTTTCGATCTTTAAGCATACGTATACTCTTGTCATTTTACTAATGCCAAGCTCGTGCATATCGAGGAGGTTTTATTTGTCGAGTCACGAGTTCCGAGGACATTTGTCTTGAATACTCTCGAATGCGTTAATAATGGAAACGAAAAATAAAATCATACGAATATTCAAGGTCTGCAAGGAAATGAAACTTCAAGTGCAGCTAGCTCATCCGGATAATGATGTAGGTTAGGTTCCCAGCGGTATACATCGCAAAAATCAACATTCTTCGTAAAGCCAGGGTTCGCAAAAAATGTAAACCGGTTTGCCTCGTAAATGGCACACGAGCGTGCGAACGGGAGACAGACGCGATGAGAAAGAACGAGTGAGAGTAAAAGAAACGTAAAGAAAAGAAATCTTTCAATCGTGATTTACGATAAAGTGATATTTCAATATATATATATATATCTATTTCTCTAAAAAAGAATTATTTCATTTCGTTATATATAGTGACTTTATACTGATAGCAATTTTCGATAGTAATTTCTTATTGAATTACAATTTTAAAAATAATTAAGTTTAAGTTAGTTATTTTTCATCATAATGAACTTATGCTAAATTCATTATTTTACCATATAGTCGATTCATCATATGATCTCAACAGTAATAGACTGATACATTTCTGATTCGTCAGCCATGTTTTTTATGTAATATTACGCGCAACACTACACGTGACGTCAGCTTATATTCTCAATGTTGTCAGTTAGCATCGGTAGACATGAAATTCTTGTAGAGAAAGTATGATTGAGCTAGTCTCAGATATTATAATAATTATGCAAGGTCACTGCCCTAAAAAACAAAAAAAAAAAAAAGAAATTGTGCATTTCGTTGAATACATGAAAATAGTCTTATTATTGATTCACAACAAGTTATTACGATTAAAATCACGAGAAAACATTGTGATATATTAATTAAGTTCAGAATATACGGTTTTTTTTTACGTAACATTGACAAACGATGTCAGAATATATAGTAGATTAATCAACATCATCAACGACATGGAAATCTTACAGAGCATAATTGAACATAAGCTAGAATAATAAGGTTTAATGTGTGACGAAAAAAAAAACTACTAACATACACGATATCACGTAAATATAAGAACTGATTTACAGTATTTTTGTATTGTATTGTAAAATTATTTTTTTCATTTTGTTTTTTTCTATCTATTTTTCTATTAAAAAAATCTTTAATAGAAATATTTGCAAATTTTTGTTAGATTTTTTATTTCTATATAGAATGTATATTACGCTGTTAGTACGACATGTTAGAGTAAAGCAGCACGTTTTTTACGTAACGCTACGCGTAACGCTGAGGCGTGACGTCAGCATACTCGGCGTCGCGCCAGCCACCAACGACGATGAACGCCGGACGCGGAATTCTTGTGAAGAAAGCACCGCCGAGAGAAGCCGAGTGTAGCCGAACGGAACGACATGGCATAGTTGCACAAGGTGGCAACGCTGCAAGCGTCTGCTAGGTTCAAGGGTACGGAGTGGAGGTTGCTCGCTCGTTCCATCGCTCGACACGACCAGGAGCTTGTCCTGAGAAACAGTTGGGCGCATGTCCGTTTTCATCCAACGGGAAACTTCTCGAAAGATGCGCGCAAAAAACTCGTACGTCATTTACTATATAGTTTATATTCGGAGAAATTCCTTCTTCAACTGAAATGTGAAGGAAGTTAAATGCTCTTAGCGTCTGACACATACGTCATGCTAGCGACTATTCGTCGGGAATTTAAAAGTGACTCGGCTGTTCAGAAACATCATGTTCTCAATTTATTCTTGTCTGCTTTAAATTCCCGTTTTCTTGTTTTTAAAACGTGGTTAGGTTTATAACTTTATAAATTTTATAAAGAAATATTTGATATTTTTTCAATGTATATATATATATATATATACATATATATTGAAAATTAATCAACTATAAATCAAAAACAAGATGTTATTATCTTTTATGATATAGTAAAATACATAAAAAATATTTTTTATTACAATATAAAATAAAAATGAGAGTTAATACAAAATGTTTTCAAAGACAACAACCTAAAATAAAAATACATACATTGTATGTAAAAAATTATTTACATTATTTATTTATATACATTGTATGTAAAATAGAGCACGCAATGAAAAAATAAAAAAAATTTATATATAAAAAAAATATTTTATAAATTATATATAAAATAATATAAAAAAAGATATTTATTATAATAATAAATAAAAAATAAAAATAATATTTGAGAAATAATTTATAAAAATATACTTTTAAATTAAATTTGAAAGTGTTATGAATCAACAGAAGAATTGTAGAATGAATAATTAATAATATGTGAAATAGAAATGAATTTTAGAAATGAATATCAACAAATAATACGTAAGACATTCCAATTAATTCGCCAATAATTTATTTAATTACAATTTTCAAATTACTTTTGAAATATCCATATAAATTGTATATATCATAATTAAGTTTTTTAGTAAAATCATTAAATAAATAACCATACAAGAAGATCGCGGTTAGTAACGAGGCTATTTTATCGCGCAATAGCTGTGATCTTCTTCGAGGCATAGAATCCGTTGGCAAGGATCCCAGCAATGAATAAAAACAGAAAGTAGAGAGTCATCGAGTCGACTGCGTCCTGCTGCTGGTTGACCTCGGCCCTGGCGTCGAGATCGACGGGAAACGGATTTACAACTCTGACACTCGTATTTCGCGCTGTTACATACGTATATGTTCTTTTAGTAGGACTCATAGAAGCAAAGTCATTGTTATGTCTGTCATAAAAATAAGAGCAAAAGAGACGGTGAGACGGCATCGAATTGAATTTCGATTTATGTATAATATATTTTTGGATAGCAATTATGATTAAGAGATGGAAGAAGTAGAATAAATATTTAATATTATTAAGATATTCTAATCATAGTTAATGCTAATTTTAATTTGTTTATTTCATAATTATTAGTTCAATTTGATAATATAATTTACAAATATATATTTAATATATATTTTGAATATTTTGGATGAACTTACAATTAAAAGAAAAAAAATTTTAATTATCCTTTTAATGTTATATGACTTCATTTACTATATATTAATCAATAATTACAATGTAATTAATAATAATTACAGTTTTTTATTAATATAAACATAAATAATATCAATAAAAGCATAATAATAATGAATTTTTTATAAGTATTTAAGATCATTCTTTATAATTTGATAATTAGGTCAGAAGAATTTTAAAAATATTATTTGAATTTTTAATAATCATTTGTAGGAAGATTGATTATTCATTCTTTGCATTTTTATTTTAAATTCCATTTTAACAAAGTTAATGAAAGTATTAAAAAAATAATTATTGGAGACGATTCAATAAAAAAAAGTACTTAAAAATAATATTTCTCAATTTTTGAACATTTAACTTAACAAATAATTTTATATAATATAATAGAAATATAATAAAAATAAAATTTTATATAATGTAATCGATTTTTATTTTTTATATATTGCAAATTTTAAAAAATTTTTTTAAAAGTTAAAAAACATATTCTGGGTATGAAAAAAAAAATTCCTAATAGAATTTCATTATAATATTAAATTGATGATTTTAATTCCAGATTATAAACCCAGATCTTATATATCGAGATCATATATTAATCCATATATTAATCTTAGATTTTTTTATAGATATAAAAATTTCGATTAAATAACGTCCCACTATAAAATAAAAATTCGCAACAATGGCTTCAAAAAAAATATCTTACAATAAACATAGTAACACTCTTTAAATCATGCAAAAAGCCATTTTTTTTATGTTTTTTTTTATTTACATTCATAAAAATAAAATTGCAATCTCTATTTCATACTTTATCATTTATTTATAATATTAAATTTTCATCATATAGAACTTTTCTCTTATCTGTTCTAGTATAGAAGAACTAGGGAAACGTAAAAATCTTGAGACTCATGTAGAAAAATCGCGTTCTTTGTCCGCGATTCATATTATACATTGCGCATTCACTGGATAACATCTGCTTAATCGCACAATGGACCCACGGGTACGTTCCGTTGGGTTCTTTATTATAATGTCTCAAAGAGTAGGACGAAAAAGGGCCTGAAAAGGGTCTCCCTATCGAAATCTTTAAGACGGTTTCCTAACATCTGCCCTCCATTGCTTATACATATACTTAAGCAGAGAAAAAGGAGTTTGCACGTGTCCTTTCAGGAAGGGATCTCTCTCGGTGGTTCATTGTGATCGACGCGCAAAACGGAAAGTGACAATTGACATCTGTCTTACGTTATGCAGGATTTCTGGGTCGAACTATTTTTGAAACAGCATTATGACAGTCCTTCGAACATGCATGCTCGTCTGGCATAAAGATGTTTCCTTACCGATTCAGGGTACGTTAAATGGAAATAGATAATGTATTCGACCCGTTTTCCATGACGTGCGATCATGTGTTATTGGATCGTACATGTATGCGTTTCAAAATAATGACTCTTTTTTTTTTTTTTTCGAAAGAAGAAGTTTCTGAAAATATTGGAAAATATCGAAAATATCGGGAAAGTGAAGTACAATTGTTTTATCATTTCTAAATTTATATTCGAAGTAAAGAAAAAATCCCGAAATAATTGCATAAATGAAAAACTCAATAATATATAAATAATATATAAATACAAATATATTTTTTTTAAATAATATGCATTAAACAATATAAGAATTAATTAGGAATTATTAAGAATAATATAATATATATATATATATACATATAAAAAATCAGATATCTTAATTTTAATAAATATATTTTAATTTTGATGAAAAATTTGCTTAACTTTTAATTTTTTATAATTAAAATTGTTTCAATAAGATTAGATAAGATAAGAAATGAAATATTCTAAATGAGAATATTTCAAATATATAATGTATCCAATAAAACAAAAAGCAAATATAAATATTGCATAATTAAATATGTTATAATTATAATATAATTACAACATATAAAACAGTATTTATGTATGTAAATATTTTCTTTTATCGGGCGGTAAACGTTAATGAATAGAAACATAAGTTCGACCAATTTGAGTGTAATTGAAATGAACGTAATTTCACTGATTTCATTATCATGAGGAGCAATATGCGTTATTTTTGTTCAGAAACCACGTTAATCTCGTAGAACCGGTGCCGATGACTTTTAATCGCATGTTTCACAGCCGCCAAACTACGCTTGTTACTTTAGAAATATTGCACTCGTTTGATTTCAGTAATTAATGTATACGTTGATATTGCTATGATGTGCAATTATATATATTATGTAATTTGTTACATCATTCTGGCGATATTTTATTTGTTCTGTATATTCGTAATACATTATACACATAGGTATTAGTTAATGCTTATGAGACTAAATGTTGTGCACATTTCGCGTTCATAAGTTTTATTTATATAAAACAAAATGACATAATTTTGATCGGTCAATTAATTAGTAAATATAGAAATTAATTTTCATCATACAAGGAGCATTAAAATAAATTACATTTCACAATGCATATTTGGTGATGATTCAATACATAACCGGTTATCTAAATCAATTTTTTTATTATTTCGTCAAATGCACCTATCTTTATGTATTTTTTAACGCTAAATTCCAATCTACAATCAAATTGTTTCCATCACTCCTATTTTTTATATGATTTTTATATGATATGTTATTTGATTATTCTTATTATTTAATTGAACTATTATTGAATTTATATTTATTTCGTTAATAATAAAATTCAATTTATATATAATATTTATATTACAAATTGAATTGATTTGAATTGTATTACAATATTAATTTTTATAATGATACTTTCTTTTTGTTATATATATAAAAATTTTCAATGCATTAAAATAAGAAATAATGACGAGTAGCTATGACTAATTTTAATAACTCAGAATGTAAAAATTTTTATATTAATTTTTATATATATTTACAATTTTATTATTAAGATAGATTATTCTGATATAGATATAGAATATTCTGATATTAATACCAGAAAGTTCATTCCTAATGAGTTCTGCGAGAAAAGAGAAAAACATCGGCCTCTTTAGCTCAGTGGCAGAGCACTGGTCTCGTAAACCAGGGGTCGTGAGTTCAAACCTCACAGGAGGCAAATTTTTTTTTTCAATATGATTTAATTCTTTTAATTTAATCATATCTTTTAAAAAATGTATAAAAATTAGAAGAAAATTATCAAATTCCATATTTTTAAAGAAGATTAGAACTATTAAATATATCGATTATTTTAATATTTAATTATAAGATATAATTATAAAAGTAAATGTATATATGTGAATCATATTGAATGAATATAAAAAAAATAATTAATTATATATAATTATAATCTATTGGAAAATTACAATAGTTGAAAATATTTAAATTTGAGGAATTAATTTAGAATAAATTAATAAATAGGATATATAATCATAAAATTATTATTATTATAAAGAATAATATTCCTTCTTTGATTTTTGTGTATGTATATCAATTATTCTGTATGTATATTTTATTTTATATTTTATTTTTTACAATCGAGTATAATAATACGATTATCAACATTTTACGTATTTTCATTATTCATTTTCATCATTTAAAAAATTTTCTTTAAATTAAATGATAATTAATGACATATTTTAATTATAAACCTAAAGAAATTACAAAATAATAAAAAACAAACAAATTAAATAAAATGTTTATTTAATCAAATCAACAATCTATTCTGATTTATAATTCATTTATAAATCAATTATGATTATTATATAAATCAAATATATTATATAAATCAAATATG